TCTACCAACGGGACATAACGCAAACCTACAGACCACTCCATCCAACAGGGTATTAAAGAGGGCACGTTCTGCATGGAGCACTGGGTGTTATGCACAAACAATGAATCATGGAACACTGCATCAAAAATTAATGATGTAATGTATGGTGATTAACATAATAAAAAAATTTAAAGAAAAAAATTCCTTAACTTTATTTGCTTACAGAAAACATAAAAAGAAAAAAGAGTGAAAGAAAAAAACAGGAACAAAGAACAAGAATAACAAACAGAACACAGTAACAAATATGGCAGATATATTAATCTGACTATATTAATAACCACTTTGAATGCAAATGGTCTAAATATACCAATTAAAAGACAGATATTATCAGAGTGGATCAAAAACTAAGACCCAACTAGGTACTGTCTACAAGAAATCCACTTTAAATATACTGACACAGGGGTGCCTGGCTGGCTCGGTCAGAAGAGCATGCAACTCGTGATCTCAGGGTCATGAGTTCAAGCCCCACATGGGGTGTAGAGATTACTTAAATGAAAAATAAAATGAATAAATATACTGACACACATAAATTAAAAGTAAATGGATGGAGAAATATATATGATTCTAACACTAATCAAAAGAAAGCAGGAGTAACTTGTTAATTTCAGACAGAGCAGGCTTCACAGGAAGGAAGTTATCAGAGATAAAGAGGGGCATAGCATAACGATGAAGGGGTCAATTCTCCAAGAAGGCATTATACACCTAACAACTGCGCATCACTGTGTGAGGCAAAAACAAAGAGAGCTGCAAGGACAAAGAGATGAATCAGGACCCCTGTCTCAGAGAAGGACAGACCCAGCAAGCAGAAGGTCTGTTAAGGACACAATCGAACTCAACACCACCATCTACCAACGGGACATAACGCAAACCTACAGACCACTCCATCCAACAGCAGAACACACCTCCTTCTCAAGCTCACATGGAGCACTCACCAAGACACATTCTGGGCCATAAAACACATCTGAACAAATTTAAAACAACAGAAATTATACAATGTCTGCTCTCAGAACACAACAGAATTAAACTAGAAATTAACAGAAAGCTAGCTGGAAAATCAAAAAATACTTGAGAGATTAAAAAACACTTCTGGAAAAAAAAACACAAGGATCAAAGAAGAAATCTCAACAGAAATTTTAAAAATATTTTGAATATTGCCAAACTTTTTGTGCATTTGATAGAGTCATGTGAGTGTTCTTTTGTAGACTGTTAATACAGATTACACGGACTTATTTTTCCATACTGAACCAGCCTTGAATTCCAAAGCTAACCTCTTCTTTGTTAGAATGTTATTCTAACTGCAGGATTACATTTGCTAGTATTTTTGAGGGTTTTTGCATTTATGAACATGAGTAATTAGGTTGCAGTTTTTGGTTTGGGTTTGGTATTAAGGTAATGCAGGTCTCACCAAATGAGCTGGGAAGAGCCTGTCCTCTCCCATTTTGTGAAAGACATTGTTCAGATATGGCCTTATTTCTTCCTGAAATGTGTTTGCAGATTTTGCCAATGAAATAATTTAGGCCTACAGATTTCTCTTCTGCAGGTTTTCAATTCTAAGTTCAATATCTTTATTAGTTATTTCATTATTCTGGTTATCTACTTCATTGTGAGTTGTGGAAGTTTGCAGTTTTCAAAAGAATGGATCTTTTTCATCTAAATTTCTGAAGCTACGTATGGAGAGAGACAGAGGAGGAATAACAATGAACTCAAGATCAGGTCAGTGTACTTCAAACTCTGGTCTTTTTTCCCAACATTCCTGCTTCTATGTGCTTTTCAAAGTCCTCAAACAGTGTCTCCCTGCACCCTGTCTTGGACCTGCGTGGAGCACTGGGTGTTATGCACATACAGTGAATCATGGAACACTATATCTTGGATGTAGTGGATCTACAGCTGTTTTAACTGGGAGACAGGGTGGAGTGTGCTTACTCCATCTTACCTAGGACTGAAGCAAGGTCATTGCTATGTATGATTTTTTTTTAACGTATTTATTTGAGAGAGAGGCAGCGTGAGTGCACAGTAAGGAGGGGCAGAGGGAGAGACAGTCTTAAGCAGACTCCGAGCTCAGCACGGAGCCCCACACGGGGTTCAATCTCACGACCCTGAGATCACAACCTGAGCCAAAACCAAGAGTTGGACACTTAACCAACTGTACCACCCAGACGCCCCACTATGTATGTTTTTTAAAAAAACTGGACTCATATTGTACATGTTTTGTGCTTTTTTCAAAAATACCACCAACCAATGTTTTTTCTCTAAGATTATTACAAGTTTAAGGTGTATAGCATGGTGATTTGGTTTATATATACTGTGAAATGATTACCACAATAGGTTTGGTTAGTATCTATCACCTTATATTGACACATTAAAAAGATAAAAACTTTGCCTTGTGATAAAACGTCTTAGATCTACAGCTGACCTTGGAACAAGCAGGGATTAGGGCACTGACTCTCCATGCAGTCGAAATCCACATATAACCTTTGACTCCCCAAAAACTTGATTACTAATAAGCTACTGGTGACCTAAAACCTTAATAAGAACATGAACAATCAACATGTATTTTATGTTATTTGTATTGTGTACTGTGTTCTTACAATAAAGTAAGTTAGAGAAAAGAAAATGTTAAAATCATAAAGGAAATACACTTACAGTACTGTCCTATACTTATCAAAAAAATCCCACTTGTAAATCCCATGTCCACATGGTTCAAACCCACGTTGCTCGAGGGTCAAGGGTGCTCTGGTAATGACGGGCCCATACATCTCACAGCAGGGCGAGCTGTCGTCACCACACTATACATGACGGGCCCGGTGCTCACCTGTCTGCACCTGGAGTCTACCCTGTGACCACAGTCCTCCCATTCTCCCCTCCACCCGCCCCACTAACCACAAATGTGATCCCTCTTCTAGGAGTGTGGTGGGTGAGTTTTGTGTTGCTGTCTTTAGATTCCACATGTAAGTGAGATCATACCACACGTCCCTCTCTGTCTGACTTACTTCACTTAGCAGAACGCCTTCAAGGTCTGTCCACGTCACAGACGGTGGGACATTATGGCCTCACGGCTGCCCTGTGCTAAACAGAAGTCAGCGCCAGGAGAAGCACCGGGTGGTTTCACTGAGCACGACAGCCACAGCTCTCCCCACATGTTCTGCTCACAAGAGCCCGAACCCAGTTCACACCCCCTCCTTGGAATCTGCACTTCCCTGGCACAACACACGGCCATCCTGTGTGTCCCGGCGCCCCTTACCAGCAGGCAGGTCCCCATCCACTCGGATACCAGCACGTCTACCTTCTCCGGCAGCACCACATCCTCCACCTTCTGCTGGAACACGGTGATGATGTCGGCAAAGCCATTCTGCATGACCAGCTGCCCCGTGTGCTGGGCCATCTCGCTGGCCTCCACCGCATACACCTGCACATCACAGGACCGTCAGTGTGCATCCCACCCACAAAGCAGCCTGTCATCTGCTCTCCCGGGGCCTGTGGCTCCAGCCAAGTCAGAACCAGCCTCAGAGGAAACAGGGACAGAAGGAAGGGAGCGTGCTGGACAGCAGGGACAGCAGCTGGGCCACACTGTGCGACCTCCAACAGACGGAGCCCTGACAAGGGAGCTACCCCCCAATCTTAACTCCACCTTCTGCCTAAAACAGACAGGGGGCTGCTGGTGGGAAGAAGCCTCTGCATGCATGCTGGGCATCCATCGCAGGGGCCCTAATGGGTCAGACCCAGTGGCCCGGCTCCCATACACACAGCCACATACCCCATCACTGACGCCGGAGGTTTCCAGCACGGGCCTAAGAACAACCCAACACTCAGGATACCAGTGGCTGAGACAATTTCAAGCCCAGGTTGTCAGAGGAAGGTCCTGAGTGCTATGTCTTGGTTCTGACAGCATCTGAACGCCAGTGACCACTGTCCTGCAGTTTCCCTTAAGAACTAGGAGTTTCATCCACCTGTGTCAGGGGCCATCATGACCCTTCAACTCTGGAGGCCCCACACATGTTTGAAGGGAAGAGGAAGAAGGACCCCAACGTGGGTCATAGAGAGTGGTCTGTTCTGTCCCTACCAGGTGGTCCCTGCTCGGTGCAGGGATAACACTTGGACAGTGATCTACACAAGTGGCCCAGCCCCAACACAGTGATACATGTGTTTCTCTATCTAACTGAAATAAACATTTTATAAAAAATATCCCACCACATGCAACTCACTCAGATATTTTCTATTCTGTCCTATTCTACTCTGTGCTGTTTGTGACTCATTAAGTAAGATCATGACCCGTGACAGGCTCAGGATGCAAGAACGCACTGCCCGTTTCACCGACATGATGCCTTTGTACACGGATGACACTTCACCAAGACTCAGTTCAAAGCTGCTGAAGGGGCAGCTGTGTCTTACTCACGGCTTTGGGCTGTGCATAATGTGCACAAAAGAGGCTGATAATCCCAGTTCCACAGCCAACGTCCAGAATCACTTTATCTTTCAGGGATTCTTTATTCTGCAGGATAACGTTGTGGTATTTAGTGGTTCGTGGCTGGTCTGCCAACATTTCCAAGTGAAGTTTCTAGAGGAAATGCACATTAGGAATCATTGCTTGTAATCTGAGCTGTGCTGAGCTCTGGTTTAAAAAGGAAGATCAGAGACTGAGCTAACCCCCTTGATCCCACCATACCACGCCTAAAAGTATGAGCACCAAAGAGAAAAAGACACAAAAATCGAAAGACCTAAATATGCCAGTAGATAAAAATACAACAGTGAAGGAATGAAATGGAAGTTTCTGGAATCCTTCCAGTTCAGTGTGATCCTGCCTACAGCTTCTCCCTGCACCTCCCCAAGAGCCAGATGAGCAGAGAGGCAGGGGTGGACCACTCGGGAGATAGCGCAGACATTGCCCTCCTGACCACTGTTCCCACCTGAGACAGGAGCAACCACCAAATTCCCCATCAGGTACAACTTGGCTAAGTATCCACCAAGAGAGAATGTGGACAAGCCACCAGGAGAGATGCTATAGGAGGCACACAGACCCCACATGGAACTATAGCTCTGGGGGGACGTGACAACCCCGCTGACCCTCAGGGGGTGAGCTCAAGGCCCCCAGCCATGTCCAGAGGGAGGAAAACACATGAAACCCAAGATAACGTAACACCCCATGGGAATCATGCTACTCCCCAGAGAAACAGAGAAAGGCTCCTCCAAATGGTTCCTGAAACCACGGGTAGAAGTCAGAGCCCAGAAGGGCTGCACCCAGAGCACTGTCCCCCACGCCCCACGCCTCAGGTCTCAAGCTGCACAAAACCCAGTGTGCACACAGCGCAGCTTCGAGGTAGCCACTGAAGCTACCCAGACCAGGTCAGCACAGACAGGAAGTCTGCACAGGGCCTTCACGAGCCCATCGTGGCTCCGCACAGAGACACTGAGCACTGAGAAACAAAGAGATTGAGGGTCAGAGTGGACACAATCAGGACTCAGCCATCCCGCCTGGAGTAGTCCACCTAAATAGAAAGTCAGAACTAGGGTGCTAAGCTGCACAGTGCTGACGTCAGGGGAAGAAAGTTGGGTGGTGGCATTATCATCACCCAAAATACACTTCAGATCAAAGAATATTCCCCGCAACAAAGAGGGTGAGGTCATAGTGACACCAGAATCACTTCAGCTAAAGGACATAATTCTAAATAGTTTTGAACCTAGTAACAAAGCTTCAAAATATACAAAGCAAAAAGCAATAGAAATGCAACAAGAAATAGACAAATTCACAATTATGGTCAGAGACTCCAACACCCTTCTCTCAGTAACTGATAGAGAAGTAGAAAAAAAATCAGTAAGGACACAGACTTGAACAATACTATCAAAACCAACTTAATCTGATATTTATAGAACACTGCACCCAACCACTTATAATAATAATACACAAAAACCATCTAGGAATAGATTTAACAAGAAAGATACAGCACCCTATATGGTCAAAAACAAGGCTGAAGAAATGGGGACAGTCAGTATGATGTTACCATCATGTCACTTCTCCCTAAATTAATGGAGACTTTCCATGCAATACCAATTAAAATGCCAGCCAATCTGGCATGGGGAAGGGTGAATAGCAAATGATAATAAAATTAGCTTCAAAAAATTAAACAGACCGGCCTAGCCATCAAAGTACTAAAAAGTAGGAGGACTGCTAGAGGCCCAGCTCTCCCAGATGTTTAAAAGCTTCAATAATGAAAAGCATCTGGAATGACAGAAGAAATGAACAGATCAATGAAACAGAGATTACAGAACTAGACCATAGAAATTTAACATACAATAAACGTGCATTTCAAGTAATCAGGAAAAGGAGGCTCACTGAATAACTGATGCTGGAACAGCTGGGTATTTGTGGGGAAATTAAGTTGTAATTTTACCTTATTCTTTACAACTAGTAAACTCCAGACTGATTTAAATATTTCCCGATTGTTAAAAATGGGGTCACAAAAGTACTAAAAGAAAGTGTAGACATTTATAATCTTGGAAGGAAAAAGGTCTTCGAAGTAGGACACAAAACCCAGAAGTCACAAAGACAAAAAGGACAAATTAGACCACAGAAAGGTAAAAAGTTCCATGGGAAAAAAGAGAGGCGAGTGGTTAGTGTAATATGTACCATAAGTACAGGCTAACTTGCTTATTTAACATAAATTGAGAGAAATAAAAAGAAAAATGAGCAAATTATATGAAAGTTTACCAAAAAAAGAAGAAATAGAAAAGGCCAACAAAATATAGATGACCAATCTGACTTTAAAAAATGGAAACCAAAATCAAGAGATACCACATTTCACCTTTAAGATGAGAAATCTTCTTTGGTTTTGGAGATGTGCGGTTGTGAAATGAGCATTCACCTACATTGGTGGCGTACAGTCAGCCAATCTTTCTGCAGACTGGCAGAATTGGCAAGATCCACCAAAGTAAAAAAAATACATACACACACCCTACAAATTTATCCAACAGAACGTCTAGCAGAAGTTTAAAGATTCCTGTAAGAGGGAACCCATTACAGCACGGCTTGTCGTGGGGCAACATAGCAAAGCTGTTAAATAAGCAAATCACCAATAGGGTCCTTTTAAAATGAACAAAATACTCTTTCTTAATAGTTTGAAAGCTCTAATCATGAACAGACATCAGGGGCTTTTCATTTATTGTAACATGTTTAACTGTGAAACAGGAAATACCTACCTAAAAAGTGCTTACAGTTTGTCAATATAGTTATATAGCAAACACTCGTGCAACCGCACCAGAACACTCGCCAGCACCCCAAACCTTCCCACCCCAGCCTCACGGACAGGAAAGCCGGAAAAGAAAACCTCCCTTAAAATGGACAGGGGATGCCCCGGGGGTGGGCAGGCTCAGCACTAGCACTCCACCATGGCAGACTCCAGAGGAAGAAGCCTACTTTACTAACCCAGCAGGAGGAAGTTTTTCTCCAGGCCTAGCAACAGCCCAGCCAATGAGAAACTGCCACACTCAGCCAATGAGAAGCCGCCGCCCCCCTCCAAAGGGCTTCCGTTCCCCCCGCCCACTCCCGCCTTCTCTATAAAGAGCCTCCTGGCGTCGGTTCTCCAGACTGGCCCGTGGTGCCCCACAGGGCGCTTGTCCTCGGTTGCAGTTCCTCTGCTCTTCCTGAATAAACACGTTTTGCTGGTATGACAGTTATTTAATTTTTAAGGTTGACACCATCACAGACCCCCTGGTAACAGGAACCACCATCCTGATTCTCGGAGGAACCAGCTCCCTGATCACTTGCCTCATAAACAACATCTTTTAACACTGCTTTTTAACTTGATATAACTGAACCAAAAGTTACTCTTTGATGTCTTGCTTATTTCACTTATGTCTGCAAAGTTTATTCTGCATGCATCTGTTTTTATCTAGCTTTAAAATATAAAGAGGGGCTGTCTGGACCATAAGGTTATAGGTCTTCATCCAAATTGGGTAAAAAAACCAAAAAACTAACAAGCTAGTTATTTAGAGGTATTATTTTTGACTTGTGTAACGTTTTTGTATTTAAGATAAAATGTTACTATTTTTTAAATGCTGAGAAAAGTTCATAATCCCATTGCTCAGATAACATCTTTAAACCACCATGCGCCAATCCAGCCCACCACCTGCTTTTATAGGGCCTGCAAGCTAAGAATGGCTTTTACAGTTTTTAATCGTTTTTTTTAAAAATCAAAAGAACATGCCATGCTCATTTCTTTATGGTTTTATGGCCGCTTTTGCACTACAATGGCAGAGATGAGTAGCCACACGGCCTGTTGAGCCAAAGAAAAAGTCTGCAAACCCTGCCCTAAACCATGAAGAGAAGCAGCCCAGCTGAAGCTAACTTTAAACCAGAGACAGGGAACCACCACCTCAGTGGTTCCAGCAGTACCAGGGTTCCGTAGCTGCCGAAGTACTCTTCATCCTGCCATGTGTCTTCAGGGTCACACTCCTCCAGGTGCTTCCCAAGGTGGTTCGCAGGTATGTACCCACAGCAGCCTGCTCGCTCGCCCCACCACCAATCAGCAGTTGTCTGTCTCAGGATGAGAATTTTTTCTCCTCTCAAAAAGCTGAGCTGGAAAAAAACATACATAGAAGTCAAAATTCAAGAAAAACCTGTAGTTGGTATTTCAACTGTGGCTCAGTGATATATCCCCCATCACTGGGGCCCAAATCACAGCTATTTCAAAAAGGACTCAATGGGTAATTATACAATTTCTGAAAATGATACCAAGACTTAGAGACTTTTGTGGAACATCTACATGAAAGAAAAGCACAGCTTAACTGATATTTTTTAAAGGAAAGAGTAAACATGTTTGAATGGCTTAAGGCAGAATTTCTCTACAGCCTCTTCACTGTAACTCAGTTATGTGATAGCTGGAGTAGAAAAAGCTACATTCAAGTCAATGTTTTTTTCAAGATTTATTTATTTGAGAGAGAGTGTGTGAATGGGAGGGAAGGGCAGAGGGGGTAGGGAGAGAGAACCTCCAGCAGACTCCCCACTGAGCACTGAGCACGGAGCCCAATGCGGGACTTGATCTCACAACCCTGAGATCATGACCTGAGCTGAAATCAAGAGGCAGATGCTTAACCATCTGAGCCACCTCAGCACCCCTCAAGTCAATACTTTTATTTTATAGCCTTATTTTTCGTTAACTAGACTAGGTTCTAAGTCAAGGTTTCCTAAAAGAAACTGGAGTAGGTGCTTCCTTCCCTCATTCCTTACCCACGTATCTTTCACCTCAGGCTTGGCATCACAATTTGTTAGGCTGGGAAGAGAAGGGTCCCTCACAGGTCTCATCTGGCTCTAAACATCTGAGTACTTCTTAACTTTGGTATGACTTCTTCAAAATTTCTATCTAATTGTGTCATTTAGCATGACATTTAGCTGAATCCATAAAACACAGACCCAAGGCCCACGGCCCCTGCATGTGAGCAAGTGCGTAGGGTTACCTGCGTCTGGTCAGTGGCAGAATAGTCTGCAATGGCCACAAACTCTTCCGGGTGCACACCCTCCTGGAGATGCTCCTGGTCACCACACTCCACATGATCTTCTCCCTCCTGCTCAAAGTCAAGGAAAGAACAGGGGATGACTATGGGGCTTCTTTCTCTCTCTGTCCATCCTAATAACCAAAGGCTACAGGTTATTAGGATGGTTTCAAATGAAGGTTCATGTGACCAGGTTTAATCATACAATTTGAGTCATCTTCACTAGCAGGATCGAGGCATCTCACCCTCACTCCACCTTTACTGTTTGTCTCTAGTACAAAATTATTTGCATCCTAAGAAGATCATCAAATAAGAAAAGAGGCACTTTTAGTGTCTACTTGGTGACTGACCCTGATCACCAGCAACTCCTTCTGAAAGTTGTGACCGGCCCCAAGAGAAAGAAGACCTGTTTCTGGGCCTCACGCTCTCGGGACCTCGTCAGACCCAAGGACTGAGCTGGGCAGGCTCCTGGAAGGTGCTAGTAAATGGGCACGACCCTCGTGGCCTGACTTGGACCACACTGCTGCTCACACAGGCTGCTCAGGACCCGGAAGGGGAGCCCGATCCCACACATTGCCCAGTCTATACTTTCTATCCGAATAGGCTTGTCTGGAAGATGTCCACTGGAGGTGGCAGAACCTCCAAACACATGTTCCAGTTCAATGAAGCAACCCCGTCCCAACATATACATTTTTAACAAAGTTTCCTAAATTTGAACATAATTCATGTTCTTTGGAAAATGTGTGAGGCACAAGTGTACACAGAGGAAAATTAAAACCATCCATAATCTTGCCCACTGGTCAGAAATAATGATGGTTAACACATTAACATTTATATTTTTTCAGGCTTTATTTTTTTTTAAGATTTTATTTCTTCATTTGTCAGAGCAAGAGAGCACAAGCAGGGGGAGGGGCAGAGGGAGAAGCAGGCTCCCCGCTGAGCAAGGAGCCCGATGCAGGACTCAATCCCAGGACCCTGGGACCCTGACCTAAGCAGAAGGCAGATGCTTCACTGACTGAGCCACCCAGGTGTCCCTCTGGTTTATTTTTAAGATTTATTTATTTTGAGAGAGAGAAAGAGCACTCATGGGTGGGAGGACGGGCAGAGAGAGAATTTCAAGCAGACTCCCTGCTGAGCACAGAGCCCAACGTGGGGCTCGATCTCACGACCCTGAGATCATGACCTGAGCCGAAACCAAGAGTTGGATGCTCAACTGACTGAGCCACCGAGGCGCCCCCAGGCTTCTTTTAAAGTGTACATATAGCGTGTGCATCAGGGTGTTTATTGGGATCATGAAATTCTGCCGTGTGATATGTTTCCCACTTATTAAATTCTTTTTTTTATTAAGTTCAATTAGCCAACATAGAGTACATCATTAGTTTTTGATGTAGTGTTCAATGATTCATTAGTTGTGTATAACACCCACTTATTAAATTCTGACCATTTTTCCTCTTTATTAAATTACTTCTAAATACTACACTGCCAACATCTGATAGTATTCCATTCTATGAATCATAACTTATTTATCCAATCTCCTAGTTTTGTTGCCTTAAACTGTTTCCAGTCTATGCAATTACAAATTATGTTAAGACGAACTTTCTTAAACACATGTCATTTTGTCTATCCATTACAATTTTCTTAGGATAAATTCCTGAATGGGAAAATGGCAGATTAAGACACCGTGTACTTTTATAACTTTTAACGTCATCACCAAATGCCCTCCAGAAAGATGGTTCCTCAGACCTACAGGCAAATAATGGAATGATTTTCCCACACCCTGATCAACAGTGGGCATGCCTCTGCCACTCTGAGGCAGAAACACTGCCTTTGTTAGTTCCATTTGTCTTTAATTACTGGTGAGGGCAGACATGTTTTTCAAGTACTTATCTGTCATCTTTTTTGTTAGTTGCCTATTTGTGTCCTTTGCACACTTTCCTACTAGAGTAAGATGATTAGTTTTATGCAGTACCATTCTCTTTTTAGCTTGCCCTCCGCCCCTGCCCTGCTCCGGCCACATCTTCATGCTCTCACCACCGTCCCTAGCCTTCACCTGGCAGATGCCTTTCCCGCCTTCTCCACACTCGAGTCACACACATGCACAGGTGTTCTTCAGATACAGTTTTTGGTGAAGGATGTCACAAACCCTTCTTTTTATATTGCTTTTTTTACTCACATAACACCTTGTGAAAAACTCCCCAATTCTTAGAACTCTAACTTGTAATTTTCAATGACTGTATAATATTCCACAGTAGGAATTCTTCCTGATTCTTCAGTCATTCTTGAGTAATGGACTTTCTCTTGGTGTCCCGTTTTCTACCACAATGCGGCCACAACATTTATACACATTTACCCTTCTGTAATGACATTTTCTTTCTATGAGATAGATCACCAGGGCTGAAAAATAAGCATGGTTTTCATTCACACATTTGCCAGATTCTTTCCATAAAGGGTGTAGGACTCCACACTTCACCAGCAAAGCTGAGAGTACCCTCCGACGAATACTCGCCAGCAACAGGCATTATGATGGTCTTTAATTTTTGCCAGAGTGATAAGGTGCAGAGACACCAGAAAAAGTAAGTATGTGGGGAAACAAGACTATTTCTTATACTCTATAAGAAAGACTTTTAATAGTATAAGGAGATAATAATTTATTGTGGGGTTTATGACACATACAGAAGTAAAATATGATACATCAGTAGCCCAAATAGCACAAAACTGGGGGCTAGGAAATGGAACTAATTGGAGGAGTCTTAATTGTGAACTGGGATATAGGTTAAAGATGCGTATCACAATTTCTTGGTAACCGCTAAGATATTAGTAAAAGATACAGGTGAAAAGCCAACAGAGGAAATAATGTGGAATTATAAATAATATTTCATTAATCCAAAAGGAGGCAAGACTGGAGAAAGGTACCAAGAAGAAAGAGAAAACAAACAGCAAGATGTTCAACTCAACCATATTAGTCACTATGTTAAATGTTAACGGACCAAACACTCCAATTAAAGAGCAGAAATTACCTGACAGTAAAAAAAAAAAATGACACACCTACCGGCTCTTTACAAGAAGAACATTTTAAATATAAGGTCTTAGATTCAAAATATAGGTGTATGTGTACCATGCAAGCTGGTACAGCTGTATTAATATAAGACAAAATAGACGCAAGGCAAGAAATATTACTATAGGTAAAAAGAGATTTCATAAAAATAAAAGTCAATTAGTCTAGAAAGTGAAAAGTATCCGAAATGTATGTGCCAAATAACAGATTCAAAATATATGAAGCAAAAAGTGATAGATTCAAAAGGAAATTTAAAAAAAAAGACAAATCCACAATCACAGTAGAAATTTCTTTGAAGATTTTTTTATTTATTTTAGAGGCAGAGAGCAGGTGCCTGGGCGATTGCAGGGAGGGGCAGAGGGAGAGAATCCCAAGCAGACTCCCTGCTGCTGAACACAGAGCCTGACAGGAGGCTCGATCCCATGACCCTGAGATCATGACCTGAGCCAAAACCAAGAGTCGGACACTTAACTGACTGAGCCACCCAGGCACACCCATAGTGGAAATTTTTGAAGCTCATCTCTCTCAATAATTACACAACAAATGGGCAATAAGTCAGAAAGAACACAAATATTTGAACAATACTAATAACCCATTTGACCTTAATGACATTTATAGAAAACCACCAACCACAGAAAACATATTCTTTCAGGTGTATGTGGGACATTCACCAAAATAGCCCACCTGACTAGGCCACAAAGCAGGCCTGAATAAATTTCCAAAGACTGAAATTTTACAGAGTACATTTTCTGACCAAACATAATCAAACCAAAATTAAGTAACAAAAAGATGAATAAAAATTCCTAAATGTCCAGAAATAGGCAGCATACTTCTGAATAGCCCAGAAATTTTCTAATTTCCATTGTGACATATTATAAAGTATTTTAACTGATCAACAATGAAAATACAATGTATTTAAGTGTGTGAGGCACAGCAAACTGATGATCAGAGGAAAAGTTATGGCTTTAAAAACATACTAGAGAAGAAAGATTTAAGTCAGTGATGCAAACTTCCATCACAAGATGCTATAAAAAGAGAAAATTAAACCCAGAGAATAAAAGAAATAAAGATAAAAGCAGAAATCAATAAAATAGAAAGCAGATGAACAAAGAGAAAGTCAACAAAGACAAAACCAGTTCTTTGAAAAGATAAAACTGATAAAACCCCTTAAAAGATAGATCAAGAGGAAAGGAGAAACAAAACACAAACTGTATCAGGGATCTCTTCTGTAACGATGGACACAATTAACAGGATAAACACAAATATTACTGAAATACTACCATGACTAATTCACAAGTAATTGAGAAAGGTAAAATAACAAGATACCACTTCTAACTTATCAGACTGAGCAAATATTAAGAGTCTGATGTTCTCCTACCCTACGACCCAGCAACTGCACTACTAGGTATTTACCCCAAAGATACAGATGTAGTGATCTGAAGGGGCACCTGCATTCCAATGTTTATAGCAGCAATGTCCACAATAGCCAAACTATGGAAAGAGCCCAGACGTCCATCGACACATGAATGGATAAAGAAGATGTGGTTCACATAAACAATGGAATACATATACAGTGGAATATTACCATCAAAAAAGAATAAAATCTTACCATTTGCAACAAAGCGGATGGAACTAGAGGGTATTATGCTAAGTGTAATAAGTCAATCAGAGAAAGACAAATACCATATGATTTTACTCATATGTGGAATTTAAGAAACAAAACAGAGAAACATAGGGGAAGGGAAGGAAGAGTAAAATAAAATAAAAACAGAGAGAGAGACAAACCATAAGAGACTCTTAACCCTAGGGAACAAACTGAGGGTTGCTGGAGGGGCAGGGGGTGGGGCAACTGGGTGACAGGCATTAAGGAGGGCACGTGATGGAATGAGCACTGGGTGTTGTATGCAACTCATGAATCACTGACCTCTACCTCTGAAACCAATAGTATAGTATATGTTAACTAAACTGAATTTACATACTTAGACAAAAAAGAATCTGATGCTCTCAAGTGTTAGCAAGTACTCTGTGGGCTACTGGCAGACCCATAAACTGGAGAACAATTGCTCATTACCAAGTAAAACTGAAACTATGCCACCCTTCCACCCTGCAATGACATTACTAGGTATACACCCCAGAGCACATAAGCTCAAGGAGACATGTAGAAGAATATTCACTGCAGCACCGTTTGAAACAGAGAAAAACTGGAAACATTAAGTGTCCAACAAAAGGGAAATAAATAAAATGTGGTGTACACCTACTCTACAGCAGTAAGACTGCAACAGACCTGCACACAAAGGTGACGTCCATACAAGGAGCACACTGCAGAAGCGTCCTGTAGGACTGAACTTGTTCTACACACACATCAAGGGCAAACCCCCCAAAGCAACACTCGGAAAAGGCAAGTTGCAGATGACACAGAATATGATGCCACTTAGACAAATTTTAAAAGTACACAAAACAATACCATATACTGTTCAAAGATGCCTATATTAGGTATAAAAGCATAAAGAATGGTGCAGAAGCACAAAGATCAATTCATAATTCACAGTAGTATTTGCCTGAGGAAACAGAGGAAGAAGAATGGGGCTGGGGTTAGGGAGCAAACCTTACCTATGGTTTCCTTCAGAATATGTACACCTCTGTATGTATTTATACATTCTAAAGCAAATACTACAAAATGTTAACAAGTTGTCACTTCTCTGTGGTATGGACTTGATATTTACAATATTATTCTGTAAATATGCCAATATGTTTTAAATTTCTCAAAAGAACAGGGCATCCACAGAATTTAAAAGTTTTATGATTAATTTTAAGAAACAGATTAGTGAAATGACCCAACTATGAATCAAATTCCTGTGTATAAAAGCTCAAATGAAATTACAACAACCATTGGAAGGACAGAGAAAAAAAGAAATGTTAACACTGACATCACAGATATGAAACGTTTGATTTTTTAAAAAACATTATTTGTTAGAGTTTTCATCTGCTTTTTAATTTTATATAATCCACATTCCTTGAAATTTAGGGTCATTTTTTTTTTATTAATAGCTTGAATGAAACGAGATGTGTGTGTCCCAGGCGGAAAAAAAGTATGAATAAGTCAATCATTTCTAATGTGTCCAGCCTGGGACTTTATTAAACAACTAAAACAGTGTACATGCTTCAGCAGTTCAGGACCAAAGGTAGAGTCAAGGCAGGTGTTTACAACCCAATTCAGAATGTCACGTGGAATCCTTACAAACACTGCATTTCTTCCATCTACGTGGCCCACAGCTGGTGGAGGAACCATGCTCTCCGCAATGTCTGTGGTCCTTACACACATGTTCTTACACACCAGAGCTGAAATTACCTGCAGTTCACCTCGGGGGCAGTCACCTGATGTTGCCATGGTTCTCTTAGGATCTGCCGCATCGCTGCCACTTTTAATACTTCATTTTCCCTTCCATTTCTACTTTTAAAAAGAGAGACAGTGAGAAAATACTTTGTTACATTCGCTTCACTTCTACGGTCCTGGTAAAGATCCTATGCCAAATGGAAGTAAAACGGGTGTTTAAAGAACGAAACAGAAATCAAATTTATAAATACAATTCTTTACAGAAACAATGGAAAGCATTTAAAATTTATGAGTCCTAATAGTATGTTTTCTTCACTAGTCTGCAAAGGTGTTGATCTTATTTACTGAATGAACACTGTGAGTTTCTGTTAGATTACTGGGTTGATTTAAAACAACAAATCAATGTCAAATCTTTTCTTAGAACCCTGATAGCTCCAACTGATTCACTCCAACTGAAATTCCCTGCTGTGAAAATAAAGGAAACCTCATTTGAAATGGAGTCAGGAGGCCAGCAGGGGGAGCTCTCACCCCCACACACCGCTTACAGACCCAACAGGAGAAAGCTCATTTTACCACCATAGCAGGAGGAAGATCTCCTACCCAGGCAACAGCCCAGACAACGGGAGACCTTCACAGCCCGGCCAGAGAGACTGTCACACTGTCACAGCTGGCCAATGGGAGACCATCACAGCGTCACAGCCCGGCCAATGGGAGCCTGTCACAGCATCAAGCCCGGCCAGAGAGGCTGTCACAGTGTCACAGACCCGCCAATAGGGACCATCACGGCCCAGCCAATGGGAGGCTGTCATAGCGTAACAGCCCGGCCAATAGGAGACTGTCATAGCGTAACAGTCTGGCCAATGGGAGACTGTCATAGCGTAACAGGCCGGCCAATGGGAGCCTGTCACAGTGTCATAACCCAGCCAATGGGAGACCATCACAGCCTGGCCAATGGGAGACTGTCACAATGTCACAGCCCTGCCAATGGGAGACCGTCGCAGCATCACAGCCCGGCCAATGGGAGACTGTCTCAGTGTCACAGCCCGGCCAATAGGGACCATCACAGCCCAGCCAATGGGAGACTGTCACCCTGTCACAACCTGACCAATGGGAGACTGTCACAGCGTCACAGCCCAGCCAATGGGAGACTGTCACAGCATCACAGCCCGGCCAATGGGAGACTGTCACAGCATCACAGTCCGGCCAATGGGAGCCTGTCATAGCGTCAAAGCCCTGGCCAATGGCAGACTGTCACAGTGTCACAGCCCGGCCAATGGGAGGTTGTCACAGTGTCACAGCCCGGCCAATGGGAGCCTGTCACAGTGTCACAGCCCGGCCAATGGCTGTGTCACAGTGTCACAGTGTCACAGCCTGGCCAATGGGAGATTGTCACAGTTTCAAAGCCCAGCCAATGGGAGACTGTCACAGTGTCACAGCCAGGCCAATGGCAGACTGTCACAGTGTCACAGCCCAGCCAATGGGAGGATGTCGCCACCCCACACTCACTATCCTCGAATGGGTTTTCCTTCAAAGCAGCTCCTCCCACCTTCCTCCTTTTTCTCTGTAAAGTAACCCTCCTCTCCTACATTAGCCAGACTTGCCTTTAGTTTTGCACGTCTGAAATTGCAATTCCTGTCATTTCTAAACAAACCCAATTTGCGGGTAAAATAACTGGCTGTTTTATTTTCAAGGTCAACACCATCTGGGGACTTCAAGTGTTTCCACTAACAGGAACCAAGTTCTACATCTTGCAGAGGGTTTTCCTTCTCATTCTCAGTTCTCATTTTTTCCCAGTGGCAGTGTAATCCATACTATGCTCCAAGATGAATGTTTTTTATTACGTAACAATTCTTTGTTTAAAATGCATGCTTCACTTATCAAGACTTACTACTTATTTTTGTGACATTTGTAATTAGAGCGTAAAAATTAATAGGAGAGACCTTGTTTAGAATGGACCTGGGAGGCCAGCAAGGGGAGCTACCTGCACGCCCAGCAGAAAGAGGCAGACCTTGCAGTGGATAACTACTTCACTCCTGCAGTAGAAGAAAGGGTTTCCTCCTGCCCCGGCAACAGCCCAGCCAACAAGAAGCCACTACACTTCCAGCTCCCAGCCTTAGCTTCCTTATCCTGGACTGTAATTCTATGCTATTCTTAAATAAACCCATTTTTGCTGGTAAAACAACTAGCAGGGTTGTTTTGTTTTTTTTTTAAGGTTAGCAACAAACACTTATATATACATTGCATTTTCACTGGCAAACCCTGGCATTGGGGCCAGGGTGGGAGGGAGCCTGCACGGGGCTGGGTTGATGGAGGGGGGCTAGAGCAGGGTGGGGCGGGGCCTGGTTGACCAGGCAGGGCCAGGTCAGCAGACCAGGCGGTGGGGAAAGAGGACCGAGGAGCCCCAGAGACTAGCGGCCAACGGCAATGAGTGGGGTGGGAGGAGAAAGAATGGGGGGGAGGGGGCCGGACGGCTCCGACGCAGGAGCAGGACCCGGGGTAAGGAGGAGATGGACGGGGCTCGGAGGGGCCCGCGCACCCGGAAGGGAGGTGGGCGCGGCTCTGAGAAGGCGTGGCTGCGGAGAGAGGCGCGGCGGGGCAGGGCGTGGTGCGGCGTGGGGGGGGGAGGAAGCGGGGGCGGTGGGCGTGGCTCGGAGGAAGGGGCGTGGCGCTGCAGTTGCCCAGCCTGCGGTCAGCCGCTGGAGCGCCCAGTACACAGCCGGGAAGGCTGGGGGTCTTCAAGGGGCAGAGGCCTCGGTCGACCCACTGACGCACACGCCCGGAAAAGACTCACTTGGCACGTCCTGCCTCAGTGCGGTCCAGCCGCCCGAGCTGCCCACGGGAAACCTACCTCAGCCGCCTTTCTCCGCTGGGTTCTGCGTCCACACCGCGGGTGCGGAGAGGCGGACGGCGCCTACCAGCAGCCCAAGCCGCCGCCCTCGGCTCGCGCAGGCGCAGTACGCGCAGGCCGGCCGCGGACGGAGCCCCTCCCTAGGCCCCGCTCCCCACGTCTGCGCAGTCTGTACTCGGCCCTTCGTCCCGAGAATGGAGCCACCGCCTTCGGCCGCACGCAGGCGCAGTCGCTCAGGCCCATCTGGGGGAAGGTCCTGGCCTGGGAAGAGCGCCCCGCGCCGGCGCACTTCCCGGGTTCCGCTGCCCGCCGCGGCGCGCGCGGGAGAGCTGAACCTCCTGCTGTGACGGTTGGGCGGTGGGGTCGCCGCGGGGGCCGGGGGCCGACCCGGGTTGGGGGGAGCTGGGCGGCTGGGCCCGGGGCCCGTCCTGGCCTGGGGAACAGAACCCACTGTGAGTGACAGAAGTGGCCGACTGCTGGAGCAGGACGTCCCTTCTGCACCTTCCCATCTCTGCTGTGAAGGGAGACCTGTCATTCTTTTCACTCGACAAATGGAGGCAGTGATGAAGCTTTTATTTCACCGGGAGGAAGTGGAGAGTGAAAGGGAAACTGGGTAGCATCAGAGCCCCTGACTGTGGGGTGGCCTCGGGGTGGGCAGGGGGCAGCACTGGAGTACTGGGGACCAACCGTGGAGTGGTGGTGGCCGGGGGCGAGGGTGGTGATGGAGGGGATGGATGCGGTGGGTGTGGGGCTTCCGTTTTCAAAGACGGAAGGAGGGCGCCTGGCGGGCGCAGTGGGTTAAGCGTGGGACTTGATCTGGCTCAGGCCTCAGTCCGAGGGGTGAGACTGAGCCCGCGTCAACCCCATGCCGGGCGTGGAGCCTGCTTTAAAAAAAAGATGAAAAGAGGGAGGTGGATGTTGGCAATGGTCGCAAACGAAGGAAGTTATTTAATACCACTGATCTGTGCATTCATAAATGGTGAAGGTGGTAAAGTTTATATGTATTTGACCACAGTGAAAAAAGGAGCAGGAAAACAAATTATCAATGTGAGGAAAGAAAAAGGAATTCAATACAGGATCTGTAGATTTTTAAAAGATAACTGATAATATGAAACGATGTCAAAAATCTGACAAATCACATAAATTGGAAAAATTCCTTGAAAAACACAACAAATTCTTCCCAAAAGAATATTTGGGAAAGATGCATGGTTCTATATTTGTTAAGGGAATTGATTTTATAATTTAAAACCTTCTTACAAAGGATATTTCCGGCCCAGATGGCTTCACTAGTAAATGCTTCCAACCATACAAGAGGAAAATTATACCAGTGCTACACAAATTCTGGAAATTAAAGAAAAGTGCAATACTTCCTAACTGGTTCTACAAGACCAGCATAACTCTGCTATAAAATGTTAGCACAAACAATCCAGTGGAAGATAAAATGAGTACGTATCATGACCAAGTGTGGTTTACTCTAGGAATGAAAGATGGTTTAAAATTTAAAAATCATTATTTCCACACTTCAGATTATAGGACAAAAACCATATGAACATCTACATAGATGCAGAAAAAAGGCATTTCATAAAACTCAACACCCACTAAATTCACAAAACTAGAAATAAAAAAGAAAGGAATATCTAAATCTTAGACATAATTTAAAAACAAGTAACAGCAAAGTAGTAGGTGCTCTTCTCCTGAATTCAGGAAGAAGAGAAGGATGTCCTCCATAATTTCTATTTAGCAGTGTACGGGTGGTCTTACCCCAATGCGAGAAGGCAAAAGAAAGACAGTGTAAAGACTCAAAAGAGTAAAATTCATTATTCACAGATGGCATAATTGTGTTTGCAGATAATCCAAAATAATCTACAAATAAAGTACTATAATTAATAAGTGAATACCCCAGTCTCTAGATGAAGGGCCAATGTAGTAGCAATCAACAGAAAATGCAATCTAAAAATTCCATGTACAAAAGCATCAAGTAGGGGCACCTGGGTGCATTAAGCATCTGCCTTCGGCTCAGGTCGTGATCCCAGGGGCCTGGGATGGAGCCCAGTGTCGGGCTCCCTGCTCTGCGGCAAGCCTGCTTCTCCCTCTCCCACTCTCCCTGCTTGTGTTCCCTCTCTCACTGTGTCTCTCTCTGTCAAATAAATAAGTAAAATCTTTAAAAAAAAAAAGCACCAAGTAACATCAAATGTCATCTGTCTTT